GATTTTTAATATTTGTAATTTTTATAATATAAAATATTATGAAATTTGGTCATATCTGATGCAATCTTTTAAATGTATGTTATTTTAAGAATATTCACATATTTTTACCGAAAAAAAACAAAAACGGATTTGTACAAACAAAATAAATGTTTTGTTTACATAATATATGTATCTGTGCTGTGTATATTTATTACGTATATATATATAAATACAAACACATGCATGAGTATATTTCAAAAAAATATGTTATGTTTATATATAATATACACAGCACACACACATATATTATGCAAACAAAAACTTTTATTTTGGATGCGATTAATCGCGATTAATAGTTTGACAGCACTAATAAAAATACAATAAAAACATCTTTAAAACGACATGCATCTGCAGAATGCTATGAGATGCACTTTGAGAAGGTTTCAGCGTGATTTCTCAGCAGACTGACACACACACCCGTGATCCACTCCTGTCTCTGTCTGGAGTCGGGCGCGCTGATCTCGAAGGTTTTATTAAGCGTCTTCACACAGAACATGCATCTCTTCCCGTCTCGGTCCGACAGCACCTGTGGATCACAGTCAGACGCCGCGTCACACACAGAAACGCTCCGGACGCAGACGCAGCGACGAACGCCGTACCTCCACGCAGCAGTTCTGGTCCATCTCGATGACGCCCTTACAGTCCCTGCAGTCCTCGCTGGTGAAGTACGAGAGCGAGCCGGGCTTCAGACAGAACCAGCGCTCCGTCCAGTTCCTGCGCAGGTGACCCTTCTTCCACAGATAGCCCTGAAACACATCCATAACGACCAGACGAGAAGACATACACTTCATCTCCAGACACACAAGACAGTTATTTATTTATTATAAAACGGAGAGTTCCGGTGCTTGATTCTGATTGGCTGAGCCACGTTCGAAGCTGTTGTAAATTACTACAAAGTAACATACACCTTTGTTTATGTTTGTGTGTTGCTCGGCAACCACTTTGTTGGAACCACAACTGTTTCTGAGGAGCTACATTGTTTGTTGGAAGAATACTGTTTTTATTAATATCATTACACTTTATTTGCTCTGTTTTATTTTGTGAAACCTTACTACGTATATGGAATAACCGTTTTATAAAAGCAATAAGCCCCGTGAAGCCATGGTTTACAGTGGATTTATAACAGCTGAGGGGGTTTTCTAACAACGCCCCTTAGTTGTTATAAATTCACTGTAAACCATGGCTTCTTGGGGCTTATTGCTTTAATAAAAGTCTTTGTTTACATAATATATATGTGTGTGTGCTGTGTATATGTATCATGTATATATAAAAACAAACACATGCATGTATATATTAAGAAAAATATGTTACGTTTATATATTAAATATATTTATA